ATTTAGCTGCTATTTCTAATGACTTTTCCCAGCCACAAATCTCTTTGAACAGTTTCTTGTTCTCAGAAAAGGCCAGAAGAGTTACATAGATGCTGTGCTAAGACTTGCCTCATTGTAGCCAACTCTGCAGACAGGATCCTGTTCAAGGACAATTCCATCACACAGGACAGACTCAGCATGGACAGGCTTGTCTCAGCCTGTGGGCATGCATCAGCCAGAGGGCATGCATCAGCCAGTGGGCATGCATCAGCCAGTGGGCATGCAGCACTCCTTCATCCTGGAGCAGAAGTGGCAGAAAGTGCTATCCATCAGAGACAACCAGGAAAGCTGGGACCTCTCTAACAATTGAAGACAGAGTACATTTGATGCAGCCGTTGGTAGCACAGACAATGGGAAAGACTGGAAGTTAAATGGTCTAGTGAAGTAATCAAGGATGAGAAACAGTGGGAAGTCACCACTATCCATGGCACAAAAGGCAGACCCAGAGCCATCTTGCAGAAGCTGTACCCAGTAGCCTTTCCCAGAAGAGCTGAAGTTAGAAATGAGAGGTTGCATGCCGCCCTACTGGGAACACTGAGCAAGACAAAAGAGAGGGGGTGCACTGACTTCTTCCTCATGCTCACTTGTCATTTTGCATCAGAGCCCATTGATGGTGGGACAGTACTGAAAAACAGTGGCAGGGAGGCTGTGACACAGAATTACCCCCCACACAAGGTAAAGTGGGGGAGAGTGAAGCCAGGGGCCACACAAACTGACGAGGAAAAGCTTTTCCATGGACAACGCGGTCAAGAAAGTTTTTTTAAGAAATCATACTGAGCAGCTTGGGAGATGGGTCAGTAGGCAAGAGTGTCTGCTCTGCAATCTCAGGGACATGAGTTCAAATCCCCAGCACCAAAGTAAACCAAACCCAGACATGGCCCTGCATGTTTATTACTCTAGCACAGCAGGACTGAGGTAGGCAGATCTGGAGAGCTCACTCACTGCCCAGGCAGCCCCACCAAAATGTCAAGGCTCCCAGTTCAGAGTGAGACTTTGTTTTAAGGCAATAAGGCAGAGTGTTAGAACACGCCCAATATTTTCCTCTTGCTTCCACATGCACACACTCACTGCATGGCCAAAGAGCCGTGAGCTTGCAACACACACACACACACACACACACACACACACACATACACACACACACAAACCGTACTGAGGCTGAGAGTGCAGAGTAGTTGTAGAGAGCTACCTGAATATGCACTGTCTTGGGTTGGAGCCTCAGCACCAGCCCGGAAAATTTTAAGCCTGCACCTCAGCCATATCCATCTATTTCTTAGTTGTAGATGGTTCCCTTGGCTAGTTTAACCCTGAAATATAGTTTGTTAACAATTATCAATAAGTCTTGGAGATCATAGGTTACCACAATACACATGACCCAGTAGACACTTGGTGGGCTGTCACTGTAGAAGTATGGTCATGCCCCTGGATTCCTCTGGAAGACAGTACACTAGGCTAAATCTTCCCTGTGGCTTCCGGGGGCAGGGGGCTGCCTAACATCTCCTGCCATGGGTTCCCAACCTCTTCGAGAGTACATTTGGCCCCTCCTAACATTGACTGAGCTGTGGTTTCTGTGGCGTGTGTCACTGTGTGACCCTTGGCTGCAGGAGACAGTTTGGCTGCCACTTTGGGGGAGGAGATTTAGTGTTGGGAAGTCCAAGTTGGCCAATGGAAGGCTGTTTGTTCACCAGGTGCCAGGTGGCCCCACATGTGATAAATATCCAACCTTTGCCCCCTGCCCAGGGTTCCCAGGTATTGCTTCACTCATGACTCTGGCTAACACCAAGGGGATTGCTAGTACAACCCATAGGTGATCGCCTACCAATGGACCTACTATCATGGAGCTGCCCTTCATGCCCTGGATTGACAGGGCAAAGCAGTCTCCCTTAGTCATGGGATAGCCTTGTCTTCTAGTGGTGTCACACCAGAGAACCTGGGGCATGCCCACACCCTAGAGTCGTAAGCAAAGTCAAAGGATGTGCTGTCTCATTTGTACCAGACACTGCATCCTTCCAAGCTCCTGCACAGATGAATGAGGGTTAGATGTTCTTGTTTTTCCAAAATTAGATGACCATCTACCACAAGAATGTGTAAGTGTCAGTACCATCTAGGGAGAGGGGCTAGGAAGAGAAATCCAGGTTCACCCATGGGGAGATCATTTTATGAAGCTATCCAGAGAAGATCAGAAAAGCCTTTTAGCTCATTTCCTCTGAGGCTATTGTAGAACAAGGCTGGTTGGGTTATTTCTGTAATCACCATTGACCAAGTGCTCCTTCGTTGTCTTTCACTATACTGGTTCTGGGGATGGGTAAGCTAAAAAGAGAAACACAGTGTGGCTGGTTCTTTCTTTCCTCCTCCTCTTCCTTCTTCTTTTAAAGACATAGCCTCCTGTGTAGCTCAGGCTGGCCTTAAACTCACCAGGTAGCCTGGACTTCCCTGGAACAAATTATCCTCCAGGAGACCATAGTTTCTGCTTTCAGGAAACTGATGGTCCAATTAAAAAAGGCAAACAGATAAGTAGACAGTGAGGTGTGGCTAAGATCTACAAGAAAAACAAGAATAAAACAAGGTGGGTAACAGAGAGGGAACTGAGATGGATCGGAGATGGCTTCAAAGACAAGAGTGTTGCTTGGTCCTGGGCAGGCCTCTAAGGCTTCTATGGCACCTTCTTAGGGATGAAGCCAGATAGGATGTATCTGTGTGCCTAGACAGTGATCTGTAAAAGAGGCTCTCAAGTGAAGGAATAATGAAGTTGTAGGCGTAGGGCTCTACCATGGAGTTATGTTAGAACCTGGTGTTTCTTCCTCAAAGTGCTATCTTTGGGGATTATGGGAAAAACTTCCTTATTACTTCTTCTGCTCTTTAAGAACCAAAAACAATGCATTAAAAAACAACATACACAGCCAGGAGTGGTGGTGCACTTTAGTTCCAGCACTCAGGAGGCAGATGCAGGTAGATCTCTGTAGATCCAAGGCCAGCCTGGTTTACATAGTGAGTTCCAGAACAGTCAGCTTTATAGACCTTCTCTCAACAAACAAACAACCCCCCAAAACAAACAACAAAAACAAAATCAACAAAAAAAAGCCACACATACAAAGGAATAAATGTAGTGTAGGTAGACACAATATGAATTATAAATGATTGGCAAACAGCTCAGGCTTGTTACTAGCTAACTCTTACATTTAAATTAACCCATATTTCTTATTTATGTTTTGCCATGTGGCTTGGTACCTTTTCTCAGTATGGTATGCTCATCTTGCTTCTTTCTACATCTGCTTGAGACTCCTCAGACTCTGCCCTTCTCCTTCCCAGCATTCTGTTTGGCTTTCTCAACTGACCTTATCCTGTTCAGCTATTGGCCAGTCAGGTTCTTTATTAAACCAATCACAGTGACATATATTCACACAGTATAAAGGAATATTCCACAATGTAGTAAGATTTCTAAAACTTTGCATCTCTACTGAGCATATCCAGATATTTTTCTGTCACTCTTCCATAAGCAGTGAGTGTGAGCACTTGGCGCATTGCATGCACCTTGTGTGAGGTCTTACGAGCCATGCAGATGTGATTGAAAGGATGTGGGAAGCTGTGATCAGGCTCTATGCTAAGGCTACCCCATTTTTGCATCAGAGACTTGAGCATCTGTGGATTTCGACAGATCCTAGGTATGCTCTTGAGGACAGCAACTATGAATGAGTGTCTGCTGAACAGCCAAGTATCTTTGACCAAAGCAGGCTATGAGTATCATTTGGTCCAAGCAAACACCAACCAAGCTGTGTTCTAAGGGATCACATTTGAGATTCTTCGTGTATCTTTTAGTTTACCAGCTCCTTTCTGAGGGCACACCTGGAGTTTGTGTCTCAGGGCAGGTTTGGAAAGAGGCTAGCAGGGGAGATCAGAGAGTGACTGGGAAAGAAGGCTAGATGCCGGCTGGAGAGGTCCTGTGGAGGAAAGAACGTGCTTAGAAGTACAGGCGCCACGCTTCCTTGCAGGGTGCCGCTAGCTGCCCATCCTGCTGTCTCACCCTGGTTCTGGACTGACTGGCTGTGACCCAGGCAGCTGCTCCTAGACAGGAGATATGTTTCATCCCTGTGGTGACTGTGCCCGCGATAATTTACATTTTGGTGCAAAAGCATCTCCAACTCCTTTGAGATGAAAGACTCCATATAAAACTGAGTTATGGCCCTGCTTAACACGAGCACCCTGGGTTTCTCCAAAAGTGGAATTAAACCCCTTTGGCATCTGGGACGAGCTGCCTGGAGATGCTCCTTGGTCATTTCAGCAGGCTGGGTTCTTTCTGTTGATCCCGTGTGCTGTAAATCATCCCCCTTCAAGTTCAAAGGCAGTGTTTGCATTTGCCAAAATCCCAAGGCAGAGGGGCGCCTACTGATCCAAGATGAGGCTGTCTTTCTGCTTCATTAGTTGTTAAGGAGGTGAGGAATACACACACATACACACTCAACCATGCTCATCTGCAGGCCCATCCTTCCTAGTAAAATAGACCACAGCAGCTATTTCCTCTCCTTTTGCCTTCTTAGGGATCCCCAGGACACTGGCTCTGTTTGCACACCGCGTGTGTCGCTTGGTCCCACACCTTCACTGTTTATCACTAAAGCTCCCTTCTTTGAGCAGAGAGGCAGTCAGCAGGCCTGACTTTCCCTGTCCCGAGTGCAGGACTCCACATCCAGGCAGCCCAATTCAGCCCTGGACTTCTTAGACTATTTGGCAAGACATACCAATGTGCTACCTCCTCTTTTAAAAAAAAAATGGCTATTTTAACCTCGCATTTAGGAAAAGTTGGCTTGAGTTTCCCCTGCCTAGCCTCACACCTAATAGAATTCTGTTGTCTGGAGGTGGATGGCACCTGTGTGCCAAGGAGCCTCATGCCCAGCCCTCCTGCCGCTGACTAGGGACCTCGTGGGTAAAATAACAGCCTCTATTCTGAGCTCACACATAGAGCTTCTTTCTACCAAAGGCAGATTTGGGATTTAGAAAACTCTCAGCAGAGGCTTCCTGTGGCTTCGGAAGAACCCGTAGACTCTCACAGAGGATCAGAGATCTCCTCAGGTAAACATCCCCCCTCACCCCCCTCCTCCTTGTTTTGTTGAAAAGCTGATTAAGAAACCAGGGTTTGGAAGAAGCCGCTGCTCTCTAGCTTTCTTATGGTGAAAGGGCTTGTTTCTGTTTCTCTGAATGAGGAATAAAGACAAATCTTGTGGAGAGAAAACTGCAGTGTGTTCTCTTTGGAGACGGGGCTGGGTGTCTAGGTCACACACAGGCAGAGTGCAGCTTCCTTAGAGTCCAGCTAATCCTCTGCCTGGCGCAGTGGCCCTGGGACTGGTCACATGACTAGCCCTTTCAGAAGTGGCCCCTAGACACTCATTGCATAGGATGGCACCAGGTCGCTTTCCCTTGCTGTTTCTCTTTAAGCAATTGGGCACTACTGTATCTATCTTATTCCATTTTTAAATGTGAAATCTGTTCTCGTGTGTTCTATTTGAGTAATTTTTAAACCTACACTCTCTCAAGTGATAGATTAAAGATCTGTCTGAAGTCTATTGTAACTTGTGGTAACATTTTCTCTGAATACCAACAACTACGTTCTTCTGAGAGAAAAAGAATGATTCATCTGCCAGATGGACCATTTCTTCTGAAAAACTTACCGCCACCCGCTCCCCTTCTTTTGCGAACCTCTTTGCCTATGAAATCTGTCACCATATCTCGTGACTGAGTAAGGTATTCATCGCTCATTCTCATTCTCCCTTTTTCTCTCTCCCCATTCTCTTCCTCTCCCTTCCCCCGGCCTCTCACTTGAAGAAAATGTCATTCCTATTAGCTGCTAGACCCAGTTCAATCGATCAATTGGGTGTCAGTCAAATAAGCACGCTCTCTGCTCTGTGCTGGGATGTCACAGGTGGGGAAGGCTGCTTCCAAGAATATCAGAGTCAATCTTGGTACTCGGCAAGCAATCTGACTCCCACCTACATCCATTAAACAATCGCCAAGCAGTACCAGGGAGGGCAAAATGACTCGCTGTCTCTTAAGCCACAGAATGTAGACTAAGTTGAAGTGACCACATTGGCAGCATCATTGGGAACTCCCCATGCATCAGGTACTAAGCTAAGCACCCTGAAATCATCAGTGCTATCCTCAAAAGTCCTCATTTTACACAGGAGGAAACAGGAGCTTCCCAGGCCCTGTGCGGGTGAGGGTAAATGGTAGACCCAGGGCTCCAAGCCTCAGCCTGAGACATCACTCACAGGATGGCAGCATCATAAGATGCCCAAGACAAAGCAGTCCCTGGTCTGAGACTAGAAGAGCCAGGGGTCACCCCAGGGGCCAGAGGAAGCAGTTCTGCTGGTAAGGAATGGCTAAATGCACCTGGGATGCTGGGGGCCAGGGCAGTAGTTGATGCCCTACTGTGTGTGGGAGAAAAGGAAAGTGGTGGGCTGTAGAGAGGAGGGGCTGGCACAGGAGACACCACTCTGAGGAAACAGAGTGAGGCTGAGGTCAAACTGAGTGGAGCTGTCTGTGTGCTGGGGGCCTGCTTCCTCTCTGAAGCCTTCTCTTAGCTTACTGCCCATCTCATACCCTCCCTGCTTCAGGGCTCTATCCAAACCCTCCCTCATCAACTAAGCTTCGGTGACACTTCTATTCCAAGAGCACCCTGTGACCACTCTGATGAACTTTCTTTAAACATTGTGCTTAAAGTGCTTATGATGTGTAATTTTCCAAGTGGGTAATTTAGTGGCATTTAGTACATTTGTAGTTTTGTATAACCATTGCTACTATCTGGTTCTAGACCATTTCCATCACCTCCAAAGGACACCCTATGCCCACGGAATAGTCACTCTGTCTCATCCTCACTCCAGTGCCAGAAGCTACTAATCTGGCTAAATTCCCTGGGCTTTTCTTACTTTGCATGGGATACGTCATTATATGTCCTTTGTGCCTGACTTATTTTACTTAACCTTTATTTTTGTGGTGCTGGGATGGAGCTATGGGCCTCCCACATTTTAGGCAAGCAACCTACCACTAAGCAGCACCCCAGCCTGTTTAGCATATTTCTAGCCTTCATTCACAGTGTGGCATGTGCCGGCATTCTGCTGTGCCGGCATGGCTGGCTGGTATTTCATGGTACAGGTACATCACATTTTGTGTAAGCATTCACCAGTTTGTTGTCGTTTTGGCTGTCTCTACCCTTTAGCTATTGTGGATCGTGGTATTGTAAACACTGGTGTGCAAGATTCCACACGAACACATAATTTCAGTTCTTTTGGACACACATGTAGGAGTGGAAATGTAGGATCATATGGTAGTTCTATGTTTATCTTTTTTGAGGCGCAGCCAAGCTGTCTTCACATCCCAACCACTGCTGTGGGAGGACTCGATTCCTCCACATCCTTGTTGTAAACACTTTCTGTCCCTCTTTTTTTTTTTCCCAATCCTGCCTTCCTGGTGGGTGTGGAGTGGCATCTCACGGTGGATTTGAATTGCATTTTCCCAGGGACAGTGAACGTCTTGTCCTGTATTTCTTGGCCATTTGTCCCACTGACTTTCATTTCCTTCCTTTGACTTCATTTTTTTTTCTTGAACATCTTTGTTAAAATAAACATATCTGGGATGGCATAAGCTTTATACAGACAAGGACACTCTTGTGGCTATCCTTGTAACTCAGCACTAACTATAGTCCTTAGTGTTGAGTCTTGAGTAATTGAGAGGAATAGGATGGCTATTCCCAAGTCCTGGATCTAGGACCACACATGCTGAAAGCAGATCCACAGTCTGAGCAGTACTGTGAGGGGAGAGCCTCAGCTGGCCCACCCTACAGTCCTCATCTGCCCTCCCTTGTGGGTGGGTCTGCCCACCTCCCAACCTCCTCCCATTGCTCTGTTGCAAGGGCAGAGGCTGTGGTAGAGAGGTGACTCCAAGATTGTTGAGATCTGAGGTGAGGAGAGCCAGGCCCCAGCAGCAGCAAAGCATGCTGGGAGGAAAAAAAAAGAGGGGACACTGAGAAAAAAAAAATCCAAGTTTAGGAGACTTTAGTGGAAGTGTGGATCAGAGACAACTCGAAGTTTCTGCCACAGAGCACTGGGAAATGACTGTGCTACTCTGTGGAGGGGATGCTAAGAACAAGGGAAAGGGAAGGCTGGTTCCCTGTTTGAAGAGCTGAGAGACCTGAATGTTGACGCCAAAGGTGAGGACAGGTGCAGCTCTGTAGCTTACAGAGGGCATAGGATATGAGGAGACAAAAATGGGGATTCTTGGGAGGGAGGGAGGGAGGAAGGGAGGGAGGGAGGGAAGGAAGATGGTAGGGGAGAGAGAGGAGAGGAGAGGAAAGGAGAGAGGGGGAGGGAGGGAGGGAGGGAGGGAGGGAGAGAGAGAGAGAGAGAGAGAGAGAGAGAGAGAGAGAGAGAGAGAGAGAGAGAGAGAGAGAGAGAGAACCTGGCAACACCTCCCTAAGGCTGCCTCTGTGTTCTCTTCCATTTTGTGGCACCTCTGTGGGGAATGAACTAAGTAACTAAGTTGTGAAGTCTGTCTGTCAAGATCTAGGGGTCTGTGAGAGGCACTGAGAAGTTGGGGAGGGGATAGCAACCCTACAACTTCCTGTTGACAGCTCCAACTCACTTCATTTCAGTTGAGCAACTTGGACCAAGAAGAAGTCTTGGTAGGAAAGTCCATTCCAGAACATACTCTGTTCAGCATACTTATGGGAACTTGCAAAGGCATCCAAGGGATGTTTTTTTAAAAAAAATGTTGGGTGTATGGAAGAGGCCCTTCTTCTTCATTAGAAATTCTCTCTTCCACGGCAGGATAGACGAAAATGTGAGTTTTTGGAAGAAGATGTTTGCTATGTGGCCTAGAAACTGTTGACTTCTGAGTGAGAACTCAGAGGTCAACATTTCCTTCCCGAGACTGAAAAGTGTTTAGAGGAATCTGGTGGTAGCCGTCTTCCTCTGATCGTGGACTCTAAAACTGTGCTCATGTGAGGAGCTGAATGCTGCAGTCATGGATGTCTTCCCCTCAAAAGCTTCTGCTTGGGGTCTATAACACTGTCCTGTGCCTCGACCTCCCTCTAATACAGTGCCCATCTCCCCATAGCAAAGGCATCCTGGTCACAAGGATGCAGGGGTGCCTGTGCTTTTCCACTGTGAGCAGGAATAAAGAGATGTCTTCCGAGAGCCAGGAGACAGCCACCCCGATACCCCGACACTCTCATCATAGAACAGAGCCCTTGACATGTTTTGGGAACATAGTCTCCTGACTAAGCCGTCCCAGGCAGAAGAGTGGCATTCCGGGGTAGGGGTGCACTCTCATTAAATGGGCAGAAGAGAGGTACTTCTGGATATGGGTGCACACCCATTAAATGGATTGGTAAAAAGTTTCTGGAGGTTGAACTCCAAGCAATTCAAAAGTAAATATGAGGATTTTTGTTCATTCTGAAATAGTAGGGGCTTCCCCCCTCCTTCCACCCATCCCCCCTCTTCCCTTCCTCTTCCCCAACCCTTACTTCATTCTTGCTGAGCTATATTAATTTTATATCTTGGAAGATTAAGAACTTCTGAAAAAAAACATGTCAAAATATACAGAATATACAGTGTGTCAAGTATGTTCATTAAACTTAAAAGGCTTAAAAGTCACAAAATGCTTTAGAAAGGGTGTAATCTAATGGGAACATTTCATTGAATACATGCAATAAAACAGCATTTCCTCTTTTAAAACTGTTTAAAACTTAAATATCTACTTTTTATCTGAAATATGAAGTATAAAATTGTATTTATTCATGGGGCAAGCTGAGGTGTTTTCTTCTTTAATTGCTAATTTGTCTGTGCATTTGCCTACCAAGCATTTACAGAAGCCATGGACAGTACGACTGGGAGGGACCCATGAGACCCTGTCCATATTCTTGAGGGTGTCAGGGCCACCACTGTCTAGTCAGTAACCACAGAAGAGAAGTGCAGAGAGGCAGGTGCTGGGATGATGGGCCACCAGGCCCTGTGCATCCAGCTGTGGTCCCTGTGCATCCAGCTGTGGTCTCCCTGCATTTGAGCTGGGGCCCATCCTTA